CTGGGAAAGTCAGTCCTCCATGGCTCCTGAGCATTCCTGCACAATTTTGTTGTGTAGAGCAGGGGTCCAACCCAGCTGTTCATACCATGTAACACAGTTGCTAACACCTGCAGGTCTATGGGGGATAGGAGATTGAGGAATTAGATCAATGTTCAGTGACTACGTGGTCAGTCGGCATACCAGGAAGTGGAGAGTAAGAAAAATAAAGCAGTTAACTTAGCTATCAATCAGACCTAAGACAGAAAAACAACTTGCCTTACGTTAGAACAATGCTAGGGGTTTTCCCCGCAATGGTGAGGGGCAAAAACACTTGTAGAATCGTCACTATAGTAACTTCACAGTTATTGCTGCTTCATTGTCATAGTAAAATGCCTACCTTTGGTGAAGATGGTGGAGGCATGCCTGGCATAATGAAGTGCAAGTGGAATTTCATCTCTCCTGGCAAAAGTGTCAAAAGACACTGACTATCTTCAGAACGCTATAAAACTGCCCTTTCCTCTCCTTTTGTTTGAGTCAACCTGGGGTTTCTGTCTCCTGAGAACTTTTCCCCTGTACTTGAGCATGAGATTAGAAAACACTTTCTTCCTATATTATTGTGCATGTGTCTAATTCTTCTAGTGGAGAGTATAAGAACACACAAAATCAGTGACACATGGGCAGTTTCCCACAGCTGTGTTCAACAACCTTGAAATTGCATCTCCTTCTAGGCAAAAAGCAGGTTTGCTCTCTGCGCACAGTAAAAGTTGTAGTTCTGTGAACTCAGTGTTTCTCAGCTATGTCATAAACCTACTGCATCCATCTCAGTATCCAGCTAGGCTCATCTGCATCCTGCTGGGGGACAGGGAGTACATGGAAAATTGATGCTAACATCACACATGTGCTGATAGTTCTGCTGTGGATAACAGTCTTTGCCAGAATCTGAGAAATAGTAATGAGCTAACTTGTTATTTACAAATACATTAGAAATCCAGATGTTTCACAAGGCCTGACTGTTTGGGCCACAAGAAGGAAATCATGTTAGAGGCGTGCCTTTCTGGAAAAGAAAAGCTCTGGGGTTAGGTTAGAGGGTAGAGGAAACTCGCTGAGATCAGGTAGTAAATGCTATCAGGCAGATGGTGGTGAGAGTGCGAGGATGAAATGAGGCCCCTCCTGTCCTAAATATTAAGTGGAGTTCAGCCACAAGTTAATGAAATGGTTAAAACAAGTGTCTCGAGTGGTGTTTTGGTTATAGCACATTCTCCAGGGTGGGAGCAAGGAAAAATGTTATCACAGCAACCCCATGTTTTAGTCAAAGGTAATGTGACATGACTGTAGCTGCTGAGTCCATGAGTATAGGAAACAGCAGAAATAAATGATGTCAGCAAGAAAGGTAAAGAATTTTGGATAGACTGAAAGCATTAGAAATTTATTGGTTGAGTCCAGAAGCAGAAGGCCATTTGAAACACCAAGCCTGGTTTACTAGCAACAAGATAGATGCTTTTCCTTCCTCCCAAGAGCTCTCTCCCTCCCTTCTCCCCAACTTCAGGTTATTTTGAGGAGAAAAGAGGATGCCTTTGAGAACTTTGAAGAAGGACTTGAACATTTATGGCTCTGTTGGGTGCAGGTATCAAGGTCTACTTGGTCCCATTGAGAGAGGATGCCTGAAGCACCAAAGTGACCCAGGCTACGAAGGACTACAGAGCAGTATTGTGGCACTAGGGAAGGCTAAATGAATGATTCTCCTTAGCAGCAGTGCTCTCCTGAGGCTAGAGGCACAAGGTGAGGAAGCAGGTCATTCTTGGATGAGGAATCAAAAGACAAAAAGTCTTCTGTGATCTATTGTATTCCTTCTCCAGCTGGGAGACCGCATTATCCCCTAAAACAACATTACAGTCCCTAAAGAACATACATTAAACTCTGGTGGGTGTTCTGAAGAGGAACAACAACAACAACAGCAAAAAGGCACCTGCATCAAATGACAGTGCTTGTGTAAAGTTCTCAGTGAGAAGGGAAGGGAAATTAGGAAGGGAAGATATTGTTAGGTATGCCCACACACTCTTTATCCCACTTTTTGCATATGTAAATGTATAATGAAATTGATACGTTGCATACTTGTATTGTAAAACTCAAAGTGACTAGAGCATCTTTCCCATTCATGAAGTCCTTGATCCCCTCCCCGGTGATCTTCTGGAAACGTTACAAATTCCCAGAGAGAAAAAGGGAAAACTACATTTGACCTTCAGTAAGGCTGTTTGCTCAATACAGTAACACCACCTGCTGGACAAGGGCACTGAATTCTCCCTGTATGTTTGCGAGGGCTGTCAAAACAAGGGACCACAAACTGACTGATTTAAGCAATAGAATTCTATTGTCTCTGTGCTGGAGGCTAGAAACCCAAAATCAAGGTTGGTTCCTTTGAGGTTATAAGGGAAACTTCTGTTCCAGTCCTCATTTCTTGGCTTACAGATGACTGCCTCCACATTCTGATGGCATTCTCTCCTTATCCATGTCTCTGTCTAAATTTCCTCTTAGGAGGCCACCATTCATATCATATTAGGGTCCACCTTAATGACTCATTTAATTTGGTTACTTCTATAAAGATTCTATCTCCAAATAATTGCATTCTTGTTAGTAGGATTAGGATTTCAGCCTACAAATTGTGAGGGGATAGAATTCATTCTGCAACATATCCCTTTCAAAAAGGGAAAGCAGTTGACATGTTGCCGAGCTCTTGCTATAGATGAGGAATTCTCCCATGGACGCCTTATGAGTCCCAGGCCTGACATCCTTCTTATGTCATGCAACAGCTAGGACATGCCAACTACAAGGGAAGGGCCAATTTGCTGGTAAAATTAAAAAAATGTACTTGAAGATAGGCTGGCCTGACCATGCCTGAGGGTCATTTTAGTTTTTGTATAAAAGAGTAGTAGCAACCCTTATGGGGAATATTTTATCCCCTACTCTGCCAACTGAGACAAGGCTACTGGCTCAGCAGGATCCTAGATTCATAGATATTCCCCTAAATGCCTGGGCCTACCTAGTTCACTGTTAGTTCAGGTAATATACAAACTGATGGCCACTGCAGCTGTGTAAAACCTAGCTACTGGAATTAATGTATAAAACCCAAAACTGTTCTCAGGCCTCTGGTCAATCATGTTATCACTGTGAACCGTGAGTGTCCCTGCATGTTTTTTGCTGGGCAGGTCAAGAAAGCCAGACCCAACTGCTCTTTATGCAGGCCATTCTTTACTTGTGCTTTTGTGATGAAAGAATGAGGTAACACAGATCCTTGTCTCCTTCTCCTTCTTCCTCCCTTGCCCTTGTCTCATTATAAAAGTAGTAGATTTTTTAAGTTCAGTGTGACACAAATCCATTTGGTTAACAGAACCCATTTAAGTCTGTGCTCTTCTCTACCACCTCTACAGGCCTAGGGGATCAAGGAGAATTGACACTAGCATCATGCTGCTTGTTGTTCCATAATAAGGTCCTATGTCTCTGATTTAGGCACCTCTGGTCCTCTGCAACAGACTAACCCATCAGCTTTCAAGTAGAGTAAAATCTCCAAGCCTTCACAGACCCTGACATCATGGGGGCTATAATTTCTAAAGGTCTTTGACAAGGTTACTCTAAGTATCTGACATACATGGCTGAGTCCTATACCCTAATATTTGGTCTCCCCTAAATCACTTTGCTCTGTTACAATGACTCAGTTATCCATCTTTTCAATTGTTCCACTATCCTGAAAGGAATCTTTGCATTTCAAAGGACATTTTTGTCTTACTGCTACTTAATAGCAGTAATAAAGGCAATATCTAATATAGAGTAAAAGGCATTTTTCTGAAAACTGAAGTCATTGTTCTGTATAATAATATGTATCTTTAGTCCTTAAAATATCCTTCTGAAGAGTATTCTATTATCTCTAGTGGTTAGATCAAGAGACTGAAGAACAGATCACAAAATTAGTCAGGAGTGGAATTGGATTCAATTCTAGGCATTCTGGCTTTACTCTTCATTTCTAAATATGAGCTATACTGCCTAATGGTAGGACCTTCTACTCCAGGATATAATGGACTACAGAAACCTAGAGATCTTTATCTGAAATTTTAGGAAAATAATTTGAGTCAGACTTTAACACTTTAATTTTATCTGAAATATTTTAACACTTTTGACAACTAATCTTAGGCATTTTGACAGTCTAGTGTGCTTTGATCTTTTATATCCATCCACTGTATAATCGAATGTCAAGTTTTCATAATCTGTATTAGTTTTCTACTGCTGATGTAATAAATTATAAAGAATTTAATGATTTAAAATAATATATATATACTATCTTACAGTTCTGTGGCTAATGTCTAAAATGGGCTATAGGACTGTATCCCCCTGGAGGTCACCAAAGAGTGTCTGTTCCCTTGCCATTTCTGGCTTCTGAAAGGACCTGAATTCTTTTGCTTATGTCCTATCTTCAAAGCCAGAGGAGCAGCATCTTCAAAGCAAATGATCCATTAATCTCTCTGTGTCTCTCTCTCTTCCTCCATTTTTCCCTTTCTTCTTCTCTCTCTCTCTCCTTTATTTACTCTTTATCATATAAAAACTTTTTATAATTGCAGTTGAGTCACCTGGATAATCCAGAATAATCTCCCCATCTGAAACTCCTTAAGTGATCACATTGTAAAGTCTCTGTCCCTTTTTCCATGTAAGGTAACATACTAGTAAGATATTCACAGGTCCTGGGAATTAAGACAAGTACCTATATCCTGGGGGACATAATTCTGTCTATATACATTCTAAACAATTCTTTCTTTAGGTACAGAAATTTTGACACAAGTATCTGGACTGCATACTCAAGGCCATCCACTAAATAATTAGTAATCAATGTCATCTAGTCTTCAAGAGTAGTGCTTCAAAATCATTTGGGGAAGAGTAGGCATAGAGGTGTGCATGAGACAACATACTGTTGAGAAATATGTGACAGAACTTTAGCCATGGCAACAATATAATAGCTTAATTATTTTAAAACATACCTGAAGTCGAGCATTCATAAGCATGAATTCCTGTTGATTTTTCATGTTTTCATTCATAGATTTTGACAACATAAACCCCATCTTGACCTAATATATTTTGAAAAAGGAGATTTAAAACAATATATTATATACATCTTAGGGAAAAGACTTTCTGATGTAGACACACAGTATGAATTCTAACTAGTTGTCATACCTTAGGCATACTTAACCAGCCTGGCTATGATTTACTCTGCTAAAGCCAGCTGACCGAACTGGATGATCTCCCTGCCCTATCAGTGAATGATACCATGTTTCTTGAATTTTCTTCCTACTATAAAGCTTAAGAACAGCATGGATACCATCTTTCATCTCCTTCTATAAAGGTGAACAATAAAACTTGTATCTGAAGAAGGGTGATTTAGAAGATGCCTTGCACATCTTAGGGAAAGATTTCTCTGTGCTCCTTGCATTTGTATTTTAGAAGATTTAGGTGTCTCAAGTTTAGTATGTCAGTCTTCTTTCCATAGTCATATTGTAACTCTGTCCCTTTGCTACATCCTGCTTATTTCTATCCACTTATTGCTGACTTCCTAAGCTATCCTCTTCCAGCTTCATCTGCTGAAATTCTCAAAATGGAGACTACATAAAGATATTTCAGTGTCCTCAGAAATGTACTTTTTTAAATGGTTGCATTATAGGGCCAGGAATTTAGCTCAACAGCACAGTGCCTGCCTGGCAAGCACAATATCCTGAGTTCAGTTCCCACAACCAAAAATAAATACATAAAATGACTGCATTGTATAATTGATTCTCTACTTACAACGTTACATTCTAGTAAACGTACCCTGAGTTGGTAATAGTGTTAAGTTGAAAAATGCATTTATGCATTTAACTCACTGAACATCATGTCTTAGTTTACTTTCAACATAAAACATTTTGCTGGCATTTGGAAATATTCGTCTATACAAATCCCATTTCATTATAAAATATTGAATATCTCATGTAATTTATTAAATACTGTTCTGAAAATGAAAATTGAAATGGTTGTTCTGTATTGCTAGCCCAGGAATAGATAAAAATTCAAACTATGGTTTCTTTTAGATACATATTTATTTGCACCATTGTAAAGCCAAAAAATGTAAGTTGAACTATTCTGAAAATTATGGGCTGTCTATATTGTCTATTTTATCATCTTAGTTCATCTAAGTGGGCCAGAACTTCAGTTCTTATTCTGCCGAATTGGGTTGATACAGAAAATATTTAGTTCTTGATTTTACTTTCAGAAAACTGCAAAACATAGAGGAAAGTCACAGCTTCTCTCTACCTCCCTCAACAATTTTACTGATATCTTTCTCTTTAGTAGGCTGTTGAATATGGTTGTGGAATGTCACATTAGAGTGGATAGTTTTAATGCTTTATAGCCAGGACAAGTGTTCTGTGGCAAGCCCTTCCCCTTCTGCCTCTGACCTTGAGACAGAGACAGTGTGTCCCACAACTGAGAGTGGGAAGATCTAACAGTTCCCTCCTTTTTTCAAGTTTAGATAGCCCCATATAAATTCTCTACAGCAGCAGACCAGAACTTGCCTGAAGGCAGGAGCAATATATTATCCATCTTGACAATTTTCAGTGTCTACTTTTCACAAATGTTTGCACAAAACAGGAGTGATATAGTACAAGAAAAAATTTAGCTCAGTAATTTACTGTTCCTTATTGGTCTTTTACGTATATGAGTATATGATTGAATTCTTTACGTCTGCTGCAAGTGTTTATAAGGGAAAAAACTGTCCTCTTGTCTCCAGGAACACACTGTATACATCAAAGATCTATGTCCGTTAGAAGTTCCTATTGGAATCTCCCCTCAAATGGAAAGACAGTCCTTATTCAATTATCTACAGAGCAGAAACTCTGGAAAGTTAGAAATTAGACTTACCTTTTTTCTTGGGCCTTTCTGTCTTGTTGTTTGGATGTGTTAGGGGACACTCCCTGGTGGAAGGGTTAAAGGTCGAAGCCAAGCAGGAAAAACTTCCCTGTGGGAGACCACATCTGAAAATGAGTATACCTACCACACCTTATGAACTTTACCTGTGACTGAATTCAGTGTTTTCAACCTCTTCTCCTTTCCTAACCCTCACAAAGCCATTTTCCAAAACCTGGGATTATTCCTTATGGTGTTCAAAACTAACTTTCTCTTTTACACACAGAATATTCACCAGAAAATGAGCAAGAGTGACTTTGCAATAGGAATAACTGATTTCACTCATTTTTGTATAAGGCAAGTGTGTCAGAAATGCAACACCTTATATCATGAATAACCTCTTTTGGTATCTACACAATTAAGGTGTCAGTATGTTTGAGAGGGCTGAGAATGTTAATTTATGTGCATTCCGCATTCATTTTTCCTGTTTGTTTGTGAAACCTTGAGAGAGGTATGGAGTGCTACAGCTTTTCCTGGTTTTGCTACAGAACCCTTTAGAAAGGTATATTTCTCAGAAGAGGGTCCTTACAAATCCCAGACACCCCTGTGACCTGGTTGGTGGGCGGAGGCTAGGTGGAAAGAGAGACTGAAAAATTCCATGAGTTTTGTCATACAAATCCCTGCGATATCTTATTTCCCAATCAAATAACACATTACCTGAATTTATTTCTGATTGTCTAATCACAATCATGTCTAATAAACCTTTGATGCTATCTACGCCTGCACAGAATTTTGGGAGATTTTCCATAATTATCCCCACTCCCTCACTCTGGACCCAGTTTCTTTAATTAAGGTATTCCCCCAGTGGGGTACTGAGTTTTAAGGGGCCAACTTTTCTCAACTCCATGATAACTACAAAGACCACGAGTCTCTGTAGACAATAGGCTCTGAAAGGAGCTTGACAATGCCTACCAGCACCAGAGAACACTGGAGCCGGCTTCTAGAGCCCAGGTCGCGGACTCGCGCCTGCGTCAGCGGTGCAGACCTTAGGTCCTCACCCGCCTGCCACTCGCACTCACCTAGCATTGAGACAAGGACACAAGACCTTTGCGAACGCTGCAGAGACCTCCAGGCCTGGGTTTCCGGGAATTACCACAGAGAGCAGGGCTTTCCCTCAGAGCCTCGGGATTGGTTAGCCATGACAGTTGTTACAGTCCTCAGCCAATCAGCGGGGCTGTCAGCTGCCGGAAAGGCTCTATTCAAATTCTCAGCAGAAGCCCGGTGACTCCTAGGCCAGGGGCCCTGGTAGGAGGTGCTGATCAAAGCTGCAAATTCAAAACTTCAAGGACTCAGGGATGCGATTTTGAGAGAGGCAGAGGAAGCAGAATAGAAATCTTAATTAACAGCCTGTCTTCTATGCTGTAAAACTGCCATCAAGAGAGTGGCAAAAAGGTAAGATAGGAAGCAAAGAACAGATTTGACCAGAATTATTAATTCTCTTTTGAATAGACTCTGGAAACTGAGGGGTGTTCATTTCTTTTCATTCCTGCCAGCAATTTCTATGTTAAGTAAACCGAAACTTCTTCCCAACATCACTGAGAGAATACTTGAGAAACTATTGCATTCTGACTTTTGTCACTAAATGTTTTGGGACAATAGCATGGACTTCACCAATCTCTGGCCTTGAGAGGTTCCATAGGGGTGGTTCCCACCTCCATATGGTTACCCACTATGTTAGTGGAAAAGATTTTTAACTTCTTTTCAGGTTCAGCATGTGAATGATCACCGCACCAACCTCCTAGGCTTGTCTTCATGTTCTCAGCCCCATTCCTTAGTATCTTGGGCCTTGCATTCCGTACTTCAAACAATTTTTGTTGAATGACTGAGTGGAGAAATTGCAGCAGCATTCCCATTTCCAACTGTGAGAGCAAGTGTGTTGCCAGGAGCAAAACCATATGGAACTGGACTATTTTAAGGCAAATCACGGACTGGTGTGTGGAGTCGCATTTGAGTATGCAGACTATCATAAACACTTCGATTCAATTTCCAGCTCTAGCAGTGTCACCCTGTCACTCTTTTTTCTACAGTAGTACAAAAACTCACTAATTGGGGGGCCATGAGACCTAAATGAGGTAAAATATTTAGACACTTAGGCCAGTGTCTGGCATATAGTATTTGATTAATAATACTAATCAGAACAGTTGGGAACTGTTATTAACTCTAGACCAGAGGGACAAGGAAAACAAAACAGTTACAAAAATTAAAAGAGAATTGTAGTTGCGGCTGTAGGAATGGATACTCACATGGTACCACATGGTTTAGTAGAGGAAAGTAGTCAATACCCACATTTGGAAGAGCTAGACAAGATTCTGTAGTTATAGTCACTGCCAGGACCTTAGCCCAAAGTGAAGCAGAAAGACCCACCTCTCTTTCCTCACATGCTCTGATATCCTGCCAAGGCCTTCCATTGGCTGGAGTTACCAGGAAGCAGAAGATAAGGGAGTCAAGTAGATGCAGTGGTCAGTCTCACAGGCACAATGTCTAGAAAAAAAAAAAAAGTATTCAGTACATCATTTCTATGACCTTGAGTTTATCATGTGTGGAAGTCTCAGTTCAAAAGGAAGACATTGTTCCACTGGAGGGCCCAGCATAGTTCTGCTGAATTGGAAGATGAAATTGTCTTTCAGTCATTTTGGTTCTTACAATGATGAAACAGAAAATTTATCCAAATTACCGAAAAGATATTAGGTTGCCTTCATACAACAAGGGGAAGGAAAACTATGCGTGATAGTTTTATTTTGGTTCCTATTGATACTCTGGGAATTTACTATCTGTTTGTACTCTTATAAGCCATAATAATGATCATTAGATAACTTCAGTAACTAAGTAAAATATAGACTACTTAAATTTCAGATCATGCAGAAATTAGTGTTGTAGCACATCTTAGTTACCTTTCTTATCACTGAGACACAGTACCCAGAATTTAAAAGAGAAAACATTTATTTTGGCTCATAGTTTGTAGAGATTTCAATTGACAGTTGGCTAACTCCAAGGCAGGGCCACATGGCAGAGGAACATCACAGAGGAGAAACACTCCATGACTGAACAGGTAGGAGGCAGCCAACAGCAACAAAAATCCTCCATTTTCCTTTAATCCCATCCAGCCTACAAACCTTTGGGATGGTACCACCCACATCCAGGTTGGGGCTTCCATTCTCCACATCCAGATCTGTGGTAAACCAATTTAGTTATCACAAAGCCTTAATCCCACTATCATATACTCTAATGCAGCCTCATATACCCATAATCTGGCCACCTCTCTAAAGCCACACCTATGAGCACATGAGACTTTGGAGGTACATCTAAATACAAGCCATAACACATACAAGGCATTTTATGTTAAAAGAAAACCCTTATCTAACAAAGTTCTGTCAGAAGGAAGGAAAAACATGTGTGAAAGAATAGAAAATTATAAATTAAAAAACATGTGTGAAAGAATAGAAAATTATTTTATAATTATAAAATTGGGGATTTAGCTCAGCGGCGTAAGCGCCTGCCTTGCAAGTAGGCAGTCATGAGTTCGATCCCTGGTACCGATAAAAAGGAAAAAGACAAAAAAAAAGAATAGAAAATTATGATAATCAATTTGAATGTTGCAAGACACTATAGAAGCAAGAACTGTGATACCTTTGTATATAAAATGTGAATTGATATTTCTTTTTTGCCTTTTTCCTCTGCTACCATGCATAAATATACTGGTAAAATAAATTTTATAATTTAGTTTCTAAGTAAGAGTGTATCTGAATTGACATCACCTGAAGGCAATATGGTGGTGTTAGGGTCTGTGTCTAGATGTCCCTGAAAAGCTTCTTGCAGTCATAGGGGATTTTCTGGAGGTAGCTGAATCTAAAGTGTGTGAATGATTCATAGTACAGTGCTAGAATTGAGGCTGTCAGTCATACACCTGCTCTAGGGTGAGTAGTCTGTATACAATATAAAGGACAAAAAGAGCTCTCTGTCTGTCTGCCTGTCTCTCTCTCTCTGTCTCTGCCTCTCTCTCTCTCTCTCTCTCTCTCTCTCTCTCTCTCTCTCTCTCTCTCTCTCTCGTCTCACTCCCCCACCCCCTGCCCTGCACTGGCCTAAATAAACATTTTCCCTTTAGCTATGAGTGTCAGATAATCTTGTCTCAGTATTGAGAAAAGTGACTAAGACAGGTGGGAAATGAGGCTGATGGAAAGTCAGTGATCAATAAGTAAAAGGATAATGCTTTTATCCAGAAACTATTGTAATAACAGTGAAAAGATCTCATAATAGAACTGAATTCAATTCTATATATACCCAGGACAAGTGGAGGTCTATGTGAAGGAGCAAATATTGGGTCAGTTAGTGGCTGGGAAATTACTGAATGGAGAAAAACAGAATCCTTGCCAAGCTGACCTAAAAGAATTTTTGCTGAAAGGATACAGAATGATCAGATATCATCTGAGAGATGATGAGGTTGAGGAATTTGATCAGATATTGAAGGTAATAATATACCTAAGGCAGTTTTAGGTATATCTTTAAACTGTTTTTACAGTATTTTTGGTAAAATTGACTCTGGTAAGGACACAGACATCTAAGTTTGAAGTCTAATAAAAGAGAGAACTTACAAAAGGATGACTGAAGTTAAGGACAACACTGTGATTCTTATGTGTAGGTGATGAGCTTCTCTTCATCTGAGCAAAGAGCGATAAAATGTTGAGTGGCAAAGCAAGCAGGTCGGCTTTGTTGGTCTTCTGTTTGCCTTCCCTATCATTTAAAGTTTCCTTACTTCCCTGTTTTTTATACAGCCCAGAAGATGACTTGCTTGGAAAATATCACCTGAACTTCCTCCAGATGGTTTCTATTTGTGTTTAGATATTTGGAGCATTCACAAAAGCAGCAAGAAAGAAAAGATATGAGTATGTTTATGCCATTCTCTCTGTTTTGGCTGAGCATCTGGTTCTTCCACATGTTCTTCCACAACTACAGCTCTTTTTTTTTCCTTTTGAAAAATTTAAACTTTATTGTTTTAGTACGTACATGACACAGTAACCACATTCATTATAGGGAATTTGTACCTGTACACAATATATCTCAATTCTTTTTTTTCTATTTTCTTCCACTCTGTTAACCCTTCTCCTCTTCCCCATTTATAGAAACTTGTTTTTTCATTTTTTCCTTCCATTCTTTTTTGTCCTTTTCCCTTTCTTCCCCTCTCTCGTTCCACTTTTCATTTGACTATGTTCTTTGTACTTCCCAATATCTATCCTCCATTATGCTTTTTATTTACCATTTGAGTTTCTCACACAAGAGAAACAATGTGATATTTAAATTTGTGTGTACAGTTTATTTCACTTAAGATTATGGTCTTGAGAAGGATCCATTTCCCTACAAATGATTTGAGTTTGTGTTTCTGTATGGCAGAGTAGTATTCCATTGTATATAAAAAATGCATTGTCTTTATTCATCTTTTAGTGGACATATAGGCTGTTTCCAAAATTGAGCTATTATAAATTATGATGCTGTAAACATGGTTATGTATATATTACTGGAATATGATGCCTCTAACTGTTTGGTGAAGATACTTAGAAGTGGAATTGCTGGATCAAATAGAATCTCTAGTTTTACTTTTTTGAAGAATCTTCATACTGATTTCCATAGTAGTTGTACCAGTTTACACTTCCACCAGCAATCAAGAAGGGTTCTCTTCACTCCACAGCCTTGCTGGTGTTTGTTATTGGTGATATCTTGATGATAGCCATTCTTTCTTGAATGAGATGGAATCTTGGTTTGGTTTTAACTTGCATTTCTCAGAAGACTAGTAATGTTGAGCATTTTCTCACATATTTATTTGCTATTTGTATTTCTTCATCTAAGAAGTGTGTATTCATTTTAGATGTCCAATTTTGGATTGTGTCTTTGTATTTGAGGGTGTTTGATTTTTTTGAGTTCTTTATATGTTCTAGATTGTATCCTTTTGTCTGAGGAGTAACTGGTAATATTTTTTCCAGTTCTAAGGACTGTCTCTTCTCTCTGGTGGTGGTTTCTTTTGCAGAATCTATTTAGTTAGATGTGATCTCAGTTGTTGATTCTTCATAGTATTTCCTATGCAATAGGGGTTTCCTATGCATAAGGTCTTTGCCTACACCTATGTCTTTGACAGTTTTACCTATTCTGTATTCCAGAAGATTAAGTCTTCCTGTTTTTGTATTCAGATCATTGGTCCATTTCAATTTTAGTTTAGTGCATAGTGAGACATAGGGATCTGGGATTTAGGTTCAATGTTCAGTATGTGGCAAGCTAATTTTCCTGGCACCACTTATCGAAGAGATCTTTTTCCATTGAAGATGTTTGGTCGGTTTGTGAAAGGTAGCTGAGTGTGCTTGGAGTTGTTTCTGCATCTTCTATTCTTTTCCATTGATTCTTGGATCTGTTTTTTTCCCAGGACCATACTATTTTTAATAATGGTACCTTTTTAGTGTAACTGCAAATCAAGGATTTTGATTCTCCATGACTTGTCTTTGTTACATAGAATTACTATTGCTATTGTAAGTCTCTTCCGGTTCCATATAAATTTAAGATTGTTTTCTCTAGTTCTGAAAATTATGCTGTCAGTATTTTTATTGGGATTGCATTTAATCTGTATAAGAGTTTTGGAAGTATGACCATTTTCACTATATTTGTTTCTGCCTATCTAAGAATGGGGGACATTTTTTCATTTTGTCATATCCTCTTCTGTCTTTTTCATAGTATGGTACTTTTTAATCTAGAGATCTTTCACTTTTATTGTTAGGTTCATTCTTAAGTATTTCCTTTTTCTTGATGCTGCTATGAAAGGTGTTGTTGCCCTAATTTCTCTTGCAGTGAGTTTTTTATTTGTGTACTGAAATGCTGTTGAATTTTGAGTACTGTATATTTCTAAGCTGCTGGATTTGGTTATTAAATCTAGGAGTCCTTATTGGAGTTTTTGGGATCTTTATGTAAAGTATCATGTCATCTGCAAATAATGATAATTTACTTCCTTTCCTATTGTTATTTATTTATTTCTCTTGTCTGATTATTCTGGCCAATGTTTCCAGAAATATGTTGAATAGGAGTGATGATAGTAGGCATCTTTGTCTTGTTCCTGGATTTTATAGTGAAACTTTTCAATTTTTTTTTTTTTTACCAGGAATTAAACTCAAGACCTGGTACTTTCCGGGCAGGTGCTTATGCCACTGAGCTATAACCCTGGCAAAGCTTTTAATTCTTGACCACTTTATATGATGTTAGCTACTGATTTATCATGGATGGCTTTTATCAAGTTGCAATAAAGATCTTCTGTTCCGATATTCTGTGAGGTTTTTATCATGAATAGATGTTGCACTCTGTCAAATGCTTTTTCTGCATCTATTATTATAATAATCATATGATTTTTGTCCTTGGCTCTGTTAATATTGTGTATTACATTTATTGCTTTACATGTGTTGAAGCATTTGTTGCATCCTATTTGTCAGAATCTTGTTGATGATTTTTGCATCTATGTTCATTGAGGAGAATGGCCTATAGTTCTCTTTTTTGATTGGATCTTCTTTTGTTTTGGTATCAGGGTAATATTTGCTTTCAGGAATGAATTGGAAGTATTTCTTTCCTTTTGATTTCATTAAAGAGTTCAAAGAGTAGTGGCATTAGATTTTCTATAAAGTTCTTACAAAATTCAACAGTGAATCTATCAGGATCTGGGCTGTTCTTGGTTGGTATTTTTAAAATTATTTCCATTTTATTGATTAATATTGGTTTATTTAGGATTTTTATATCTTCTTGATTCAGCTAGGTTATTCATACATGTGTAGGAATCTGTCCATTTCTTCTATGTTTTATATATTATTAGTGTATATATTCTCAAGTAGGTATTAATCTTCTGAATTTCTTCAGGCTCTGTTGTGATTTAGTGCCTTTCATTCCTAGTTACATGTGTTTGGGTCTTTTATTTCCTTTATTTTTTTTACAAGGTTGGCTTCAGGTTTGCCTATTTAATCTTTCAAAGAAACAACCTTTCATTGATTCTTTGTATTGTTTTTCTAGTCTCAGTTGCATTAAGTTCTACTCTGATCTTTATAATTTCCTCCCTCATACATTCCTTGGGCTTAGCTTGCAATTCTTTTTTCAGAACTTTGAGGTTCATGATTAAGTTACTTATTTGAACTTACTCTGCTTTTCTGAGGCCAGAATTCACTGCTATAAATTTCCCTCATAGGACTGCTTTCATTATGTCTTATAAGCACTGGTATATCATATTGACATTATCATTTAATTGCAGAAAGTCTCTAATTTCTCCTTTTATTTCATCTGTGACCCATTGGTTGTTCAGGAGGGTGTTATTAACTTCCATGTGCTTCAGTAATTTTTGTGATTTCTTTTGCCATTGATTTCCAACTTCATTGTATTATGATCTAATAATATGCATAGGATAATTATAATTGCTTTGCATGTATTTATGCATGTTCTAATATGAGTTAGTATGTCATCCATTTTGGAGAAAGTTCCATGTGCTCTTGAAAAAAAATATGTATTTTGTTGTTGTTGGGTGGAACACTCTATAGGTATCTACTAAGTCAATTTATTCAAGGGTTTGGTTCAGCTCCAATGTTTCTTTCTTTATTATTTTTGTCTAATGATCCATCTCTTTGTGACAGTGGGGTATTTAGGTCCTCCATTACAACTGTAGCAGTGCTTATCTGATTTTTTGATATCCATTAGTGTGTGTGTGTATATATATAGTTGGGTGCATTGGTATTTAGTACATGTATATATGTGACTGTTACCACTTCCTCTTGAATTGTTCTGTTAACAAGTTTGTAGTGACCTTCTTTTCCTCTCTTGATCAGTTTTGGCTTGAAATCTACTTTGTCTGCAAACAGAATAGATAGTCCTGCTTTTATACAGGTTTCTTTCACATGAAGTATTGTTCTCCATCCTTTCAATTTCATTCTGTGAATTTCTTTTTGAGTTAAATGTGTTTCTTTTATGCAGCATATAGTTAGACCTTGTTTCTTGATCCATTCTGGCAATCCATTTCTTTTGATTGGTGGGTTGATTGATAGTGATATCTGATAGGTATTTATTTATCCTTGTCATTATATTATTTTCCTGTTGTTGGTTCCCTTTCCCTCATATTTAATTGCTTGCCTTGCCTGATGGAGTCATTTTTTTGGTATTCTCTAGATTGTTTTTGTCATCTTTTTCTGGACTATCCTTCAGAACTTTTTGGAGTACAGGTATAGTGGTCAGGAATTTCTTTAATTTTTTTTTATCATGGAAGTATCTTACTTCCCCCATCAATTTTGAAAGATAATTTTGTTGGGCTACATCAATTGGTTTGGAGTTTTTTTCTTTTAGGGCTTGAAGCATTTCATTCCAAGCTTTCCTTAACATAAGGAGTTCAGTTGAGAAATCTGCTTTGATTCTGATGGGATTTCCTTTATTGGTGATTTGTCTCTTTTAATAGCTTTTTAAATGTCTCTTTTCTCTAACAGCTTTTTTATTATCCTATTCTTGCCCTGAATCCCTGGAATCTTGACTTATATGACTTAATGTAGGATTTTTTTTTTTCTGACCAGGACTATTTGGAGTTCTGTGTGCCTCACTTATCTGTATCTGAAATACTTTTCCCATTCTTGGAAAGTTTTCTAATATTACTTCTGTGAACAGATTTTTTCTAATATTACTTCTGTGAACAGATTTCTGTGCCCATTGTGATAGCTTCTGATTCTTCATTGATTGCAATTAATCTTATGTATTATTCTTTGCATCATCTAGAAGCTGTTGGATTGATTTTTTTGTGGTCTCTTGATACTTTTAAGAGGTCTTTCATTTGATGATTACAAACCACAAGCCTGCTGTGAATTGGCAACTTGTGGTTAACTTGTAAAACCCAGCTGAACTGAATAAAGTGGTGGCTGGTTGTGGATGGCCCACCTGAGGATTGTTGTCAACAACATAGAAAAGAGAACTGAAGAGAAAGAAGTGGTGTTGTTGGTTCTCCTGTTGCCATAGGTTCTCCTGGAGGAACTTGTCAAGCTTCTTTCCTGATACAAACTTGGCTGTTCTCATCATCAAAGGAACTCAGGACCTTGTGTCACTGAGGATGACTGTGGTTCACTTTGGGGGTGTGCTGGTCCTTACTTTGAAGGTCATTTCCTGGTACTGGAGAAGATGGTGTGCTGTTCAACCTCCTGAAGAAGCTTGTCATGCTGGCTTCCTAAAATGAATTGTTGTTCTCATTATTGGAGGAACTAAGGCTCTCATTGCTGCTGAGAATGGCTGTGGCACTTTTGAGGGAATCTCTGATCCTTACTTTGAGTGTTGCTTCCTGACTCCAACGAAGACCCCTCAGGGCTTCGGGCACAGGTCTTTGATCCCACTGGCACAGACTTTCTAGCTTCTACCACTGACCTTTGGGCCTTCCCAGCACGGTTTTGTGAAACAGACTTGCTTGAGATATCTTGTGCTCTTGGCCTCTATGAGGGCATTGTCATTGGCTCTAGATCTTCAGGTAGACTCATGCAGGTTACTGCTATGGGATTCAGGCCTTCAGCTGTATTCTTTGGATCTTTAGTGTTGGACAGATTTCCAGCACTTTTTTTGTATTTTACTTTTTGACTATTTTAAAATAATATATAAATTATGTATCCTGTATTAAATTGTTTTCCTTGAAAACCTTGACCACAACACCTGTCTTATAGATTTGCTATTCTGTCTTTACATTGTTGACTCTGCTGCATAAAGTTTTAGTAGGATTTTCAACCTCCTGGATTTATATTTGAATCTTTTTTTTTTTGAAATTTAATTCTTTTCTATGTTGGGCATTTATGGTTTTTGAAGCTCCTCTGTTTTTCTTCTGTAGCTATTCTAGATTCACTAATCATTTCCATCATTATAGTCATCATCTCTTTATCTCTGTTTTGTTTTTGTCAAGAGACTTATCAACCTGTTTTGTTACTTCTGCTGCCTCTATTTCATAAAATTCAGCTGGCAGGTTTATTTCTTCCACCTGATTTCTCCCTTGATTTGCCTTGAGTGGGTTGGGGATGTTGGGTTCCACCCTGCTTCCTTGTTTTCTCGTTGCTGTTCATTCATTTTCTGCTTTGAGGTTTATAAATTGCTTATGTAGTAAGACTTATTACTAGTAAACTCTACTACTATCATCAAGGCCTTTTTTAGGAAATGACTACTTTTCAGAGATAAAGCCTAGGCATAACTGAATTTGGCTTTTCAGATTGTGGCTGCCTACATGGCCTAGCATCCAGTTCTTTGGTACTGGACCATAGTATTAGGTATGACTCCCAGACAGTCTAGGTATTGGCATACAAGGAAGATCAATTGATCACAACTATGTTACCTTTGCTAAAATAGTACAATCAGTAATAAAAATGGTATCAAGTACAGACTAGAAAATGACAAACTGTTGTAACAATTTGTCAACTTTAACCACAGGTATAAGATTTATAGTTATGTAACAAGAACTAAAATAAATCAGGCAATTATGTATGGTAAATGTCCACTCAGTAGAGCAATTTTACCCTAAGGGGAGAAATTTTAAAAGGGAGAAGAAAAAACTAGAGAAATGAAAGAAAAAAGTGATTAGAAACAAGGCTGAAGGACAAAAGAGATTACTCAGGTCTTGGGATGTTGTTGAAGAGAACAGGAAGGAAAGAAAGAAGATAAAAACAAAAACAAGAAAACTAAAAATAATGTTCATGCTCATGAAATGACAAAGCAAACCATCAAAAAGCCCCAAACAAACTGAGAGACAGAGACAAATGCCAGAGTGTTGACTGTCAGCTACTCAGCTTCTCCAGATTGCCAACAGTTTGGAAAACACCAACCCAGAGAGAATTCAAAGGGAGTGCATGGAACGTGGAAACCTTGAGGGAACTGACGGTGGAGAAGAAGTAAGATTCATTGCCACAGAAGAAACAGCTCACCACTGCAGATCTCAGATCATGAGGTGTGTCTAGCTCAGTGGTGTTTGGCTGGTGCACAGAAAGCAAAAGCAACTTTGCTCCTTATTGGGACTGACCTTAACTAGGAGACTCATACAGTCGGAGGCAGCAGTTAGAACAGGAGACATTATTTCCTGAGCCTTCCTTCCCAGAATCAGCGGTTGGTGAGTAAATTAAAGTGGTACCTGGCACAGAGTTGTGTGGAAGAACAGCAGTGGGTGGGTGGTATCACCATTCTATTTCAAAGGAACCAGGGCTTGAATTCCAGCAGCAGAAGAGCTCCAGGGTTGCCTCACTGCCAGTTTCTTGGAGTGAAAAAGGGAAGGGCAGTACAGTCACAGTAGAGAGCTGGCAGTTGGGCAGCAGACTGGGGGAACTCTACTGAGAAGTAGTGGACAGCAGTGGACAGGGGCACACCCCCATCTACAGTGAACATGTGTGAGAGGAGTCAGCGTTCTGTCCAAGACCAGCCTGGCACCCCGCAGTAAACCTAGCACGGACTTGCCAGGTTTACTCAGCACAGCTTCTGGCGCTGACTAGGGAACTAACACAGAATTGTTAGTTCCATTTCACTCTGGAATTGCCTAAAGGAGGGGTAACTTACCATTCTGGAAACCTGTCCTTAAATTCAACAGCCATGGAAGTGAGATTGAACATTGTTGCGTACTGTTATTTCTCAGGGCCAGGGAAGTGGAGAAGTAACTGAAGAGTGACTCCAAGCAGGACACGAGAACCAAATCTCAGTCATCTCAGATGCAGAAAGAAAAGTAAGATCGAGAGCTTTCCCAGACTGACTCTGTAATTCTTAGCAAAACATGCCTCTAGAAAAGGAAGTTTTGATTGACTCCAACTACACTGTCAAACAGAAAATTATACAAATAAAGAATCTGAATGGCTGGTTTTAACATTTTGAAAGAGTGAGAAAAAATGCAAGTGTTGTAATTCTTTCCTTTAGAGCTTAAATTTTTATAAATGACTCAATCAATTCTAAAATATCTGTCTGTAAAGAGATCTATCACCTCTCGGCACATAGAGAGGCAAGTAATAGTCCAGAAGAAATTTCAATCCTAGGGCAAAGAGATCCTTCAGACATTTTAGCGTCTGTATCCAGCCACCTCTACAGCAGTGCTGGCTAGGCTCTATTTAAATCCACTCTGAAAATATGTATCCCTAAGTATTTGTAATATAGTTAAGAAACTCACAGAATAAAGTTCGTACCCGTTGTTTCTCATTAGAAGTCAGTGTTTAAAAGTGACATTACATATCTCTACCTTAGTTCATAGGTCAGTAAATCCTCTAGAGATCTTAATGTATTTCTAGAAACAACTAAAAACTTTTCTAGACCGTACCTGATTTGTTTTAGGTCACAGAGAGAAAAAGACATGAAAACATGGGTAGTTCTAAATACTCCATTTACTTTCTATAAGTGACATTATCCTTGAGAATCTTGAACAAAATCAGATAGAGATGGGTACAGCCTCGTGAAGGTGAAGGTTTCAATTATGGCTGGCCTAGAAGTTCCATCCTCAAGATGCAAACAGCATACTTGCCTCAGACTCTGTAACAGTGAATGAGGCGTTGACTAAAATTGTTTTGGAAACCTCTCCTCAGGTTCTAAAAGTGGAGGAACAGTAGCCTCAGGCTCAATGATAGTGGGTGCCTTACAGGTGTCTGGTTTTCCTGAGGCTCACATTTACATTTGAACACAAGTAAGGATTTTTTTTTTTAAAGTCTGAACGCAAGGCAATTTTGTGTTTAGTCTATATAGAATTAGAAATAGAAGGTACAAAGCAAATGAACAAATGTTTCATGATTGATTACATACATTGAATCATATATTGATTCAGTGTATGAATAGACACATAGACAGGCTAATTTTGATTATTAAGTTCATGTTTAACCACTATCAGAAAACAACATTGGCTCATTGGTATTTAGACAGACAAAGTTTAGGATATTTTAACTTTAAATAGTCTGGAGGCACAGGCCAAGGAGTATCAGACTCCCCACATGACTCTAGTTTTGAGCCAGGGCACAGTGGGTGACCTTTTACTTATTTATTTATTTACTTATTTAGTCTCTTTATTCCCATTCTAAAAAGGAAACTTTGAGGGTCCCAGTACTTAATAGACCTATTACAGATTTTACCAAGGTCCAAACTGAAAAGGCCTCAGGAGAAACACTTTCTCCTCTGCCACTGAGTTCTTTTTTAAATTTGCTCTCACCTTATTCCAGTTTTGAATATCTGCTGACAGAAACTGTGAATTATCTCCAGTGGTGCAGAGGAAGGAGTCCAGGCAGGTTGGGGTGGAGTCCATTGTTCATAATGGTGAAAGCAGTGATAATAGATTTCATTGAGACCGAAATTATGGGTACAAGAGCATACAAAGACAATACAGACCAGACATAGACACACATAAAACCTGGATGCTGGAATCTAGCCCAGCTGATGTAACTTCAACCAAATGGGACCACCGACAGAACTGTGGTTCCCAAATGGGACTGCAGGTGTTGGGGCACAGTTATAAAGTAGAAAAACATTCATGAGATGGTAAACTTATAGATATTTCATGATCAATTTGATGCCTCTGACCAAGTTGCTGTTCTGCTGTTTCTATTAAATTCAATTGACCCTGACAGTGTCCACAGCCCAGCTGCAGATGAACACTAAGTCAGAGTAACTGTCTGTACCTTAAGGCACTCTGGGCTGATTTATACTCTTTCAGTAAAGAACCTCTCTCCAGAACATTTCTATGTATGACAATGTCTTTAACTGTGCTCATTCAGGAAAAGCCCTCTCTGGAACATTTCTGGGTTATGGTAATGCCCTTAACTGTGCTCATTCTGTAAGAGCCCCTCCCCTGGTTGCCAGAGTGTTTCTGTTGTTTCAAGACTAGCCTGTCTGTCAATGTATGATTCAATGTATGTAATCAATCATGTAACATTTGGTCACTTGCTTTGTACCTCCTACTTCTAATTTTGTATGGACTAAACTCCTTCTTGATTCAAGATGGCTGCTTGGGAGGAATTATCCCTGCAATAGTCCACTGGCGTGAAATCCAACAAAAAGATTAAATGCTGCCTTCTTACCTTCTTAGCGCAAAGTCTTCTTTTTGATTTGGCTTGGCTTGGCTTGGGACATTTCCTGCAACACAGGAAGAATTTGTGGTTCCCAAATGGAACTGAAGCTCCACAGATGGGTTTGAAGCCCCTAAATGGAACCACAGAAAAAAACTGCAGCCCCTAACTCCAGACTCTGACAGAAACACATGATTCCTGCATCCAGGAAGCAGGCCCATCTGCCAGATGCTTTCAGAGATCTAGAAAATAGAAGCCCCTGGACAAGAACCAAAACAAAACCAAAAACCAAAATTCAGATTTTACTTAACTCAGTTGGGTCTGACTTGCCTCCCTTATCTCAAACAATTAGCCTTCCCTTTTTTTCTCTGTGTTCCGGGGAACTGTCTGAACTCAGCCCAGGCACCCAGGTTCCCTTATGACAGGTTTTGGGCTCAGGTAGTGGTTTCCTTTAACAGGGAGCTGTCCATGGACCATCTTACCGGGCCTCCCTTATGTTACTGTGAGATGCAGAGAATTATTCATGGAGGCTGAGAATAACGCAAACTAGCTTTATTAACTAGGGACCACATCCAGCATGGAGTCCAGAGTGTTGCCCCCAGGACTGGATGTCCAAATATTTTACAAGGAGCACCTGGAGATCAGATGCTCCTTATTTGGTGCAATTTTTGATAGTAATGGTGGAGACTAGGAGTGGCTTTAGTGGAGAGAGGTGCTTCCTGAGTCGAAATCATCCAGACAAAGGTCTGTCTCATGGCTGCTTAATCTGCATGATTCAGCAAAGAGAAAATTGGAAGGGATAGGCAGGAGAACTAAGGAGAGTTAAAAATGGAGTCTATGTAAAATGGCATTGTGGTTGCCACTTCAGAACAATATCCCAGCTGCATGGGAAATACCAGAAAGAATCAACAATTGGAATCTCATCTTACTTTTGTTTGCATTTTTAAAATTTTATTTTAAAGAGGATAAAACCAAGGAAAATAAAACAATAAAACCAATCTAGATGAAATAGTATAAGTGATGCAGGACTTTAAACCCTTCTGAAATCAGCAATAGTTACCATAATGCCTTATTGTCTTCAAAATAGCTTCAGATACCTTCAGACAAAAATCAAACAGAACAGAACAGAGCAGAAACAATAAAACAAAACAAGGAATGCAATAAAGGATTTCAGAATAAGCTAATAGTAAATCCAAAATGGTTACCATAATATATCTAGCAAGATAAAATTTTTTAAATGCAAGAAAAAGTAAGATGAGATTCCAGTTTTTGATTCTTTTAAATAACTGCTCATGCCATCAGATTTAGCATAATCAAACAAAACAAAAGAAAATAAAACCCAACCCAGGAAAACAATGAAAATGATATGGTTTCCAGGCGAGGACCACCTCCTGGTGAGGCCTGGTTCTCTTCCCTGCAGTGCATGAATGGCCTTGACTCACAGAGAGCGGCTTGGGTGTGGCTGTCCCCACTGTGGTAGCAGCTTGTGCATGGCCCTATTTTCCGGGCAGAGACCACCTCCTTATGAAATCACATCTTATTAAAGAGCTTTTCACAGCAAAAGAAATCATCAGACAACCCATTGAATGGGAAAAAAATCCTAGCCAGCTGTTCCTCTGACAAAGGACTAGTATCTAGAACATATAAAGAATTGAAAATTATTAAACCCCACAAATTTAAAGATCCAGTCTATAAAGGCACATCTGAAATGAATAACACTTCTCAGAAGTACAAAGACAAATAAACATATGAAAATATATTTTCATATTTATGAAATATATGAAAAATGCTCAACAATACTGATAATTTGAGAGATACACTCCAGAAAGAATGGCTGTCATCAAGAAATCAATCAGTAACGAATGCCAACAAGACTGTGGAGGAAAAGGAAAACTTCTACACTGTTAGTGGGAATGTAGAATGGTGTAACCACTGTAGAAATCATTGTGCAAATTCCTCAAACCTAAATCGAGAGGTTCTGTTTGACCCAACAATTCCCCTTCATAGTATCTTTCCGAAAGAATTAAAAGCATCATGCCACAATGATAAATACACACTTACATTTATAGAAATATAAGTTTTAATAGGTAAATCTTGGACACAACCCAAATACCCATCAACCAAAGAATGAATTAAAAAAAGTTTTTTAAAATACAATGGAGTACTTCTCAGCCATAAAAAAGGATAAACTTGAGACATGTCTAAGTACATGGATGCACCTTGAGACCATACTCTTAAGTTAAATAAGTTGGACACACATGTGTAAATATCTCATTCTTTCTCTGGTGTGAGAAACAAAAGTGTAAAAAAGGACCAAAATGTATAATAGATATTGTGAAATAGGAAAAAATTATTCAAAAGGAAAGGTGAACCAGAATGGGGTGGGGGAGAATGGGAAAAGAATAAAATGAGGGGAAAAATGATAAAATGAAAATAAAGCCTTGTAGGGGAAGAAGGGTTGAAGGGACAGGAGAAAAAAGAAGAAGAGGAACTAAGGTATATCATGTACAGGTACAAGTTCCCTATGATGAATATGATCATTATGTAGATCTAAATTGTACCAATAAACATAGTAAGTGTTTTTTTAAAGCAAGCAAGAAAGAAATTTCTCTGTGATTTCAAGCCTATGGTAATCCTCTGGGACCTACAGTTTTACGTTAGTATTCAACTTACGGTATGACTCTGCTGT